TAATATACTAACCTTTCATCATGTTCTGCTAAGGTTAAAATTTCTTTGAGAGACTCAAAGTGTGAGAACCACTCTTTTAGAGACTTCATGTTTCCTACCAAGCCACTTCCCAAACGCTTTTAGACAGCATTAGTGTGTTTCAGAAACAGACCACTGGACTGAAACATAGCTGGGACAGTGCTCCTCTGTCATAGAAGGAGCTCAGATCCTCACGTATCCACCGTTGGGGGTTGTTTGGTGGCAGCAATTCTCACACTTCCTGGGTAAAGGAAGCTAGAAGTCAAGGGCCCATATTCCCCATCCCTTCAACAAACGGAAACAATCCACCCTTCACCAGAATGTCTGTTCTTCTGAAGGAACATCGGGCAAGGACTGATATAATTCTTTTTTTTTTTTGGCCATAGGGCAGGCGCCACCACGCCTGGACTGGTACAATTCTTGTCTGTGATATATAAAGACATAATCACAGTGAGGCAGAGTAGAAAGAGCAATTAATTGGGGTTAGTGGCTATGGTTTCTGGTCCTGCTTTGGTCACCAACTAGCTGTGTTACTGTGGATGAAGTCATCCCACATGTCAGGGGCTTGTGGTTCTGAAATCACCTAGCACAGACTCCAGAGCAAGACTGCAAAGGTTCATAGTGTGGATCTACTACTTTATTCCTGACCGTAGACAAACTATTATCATTTTTATAAGGAAAAAGGGAGTTCAGTGGTCTTACAAAGCTAGCATCAAACAAGAGTCAGACCCACCAGCAGCATAACCGGATGGAAAAGGCAGCATGTCACTGAAGTGGTTGAACCTCTCTGTGCCTTATTTTCCCCATCTCCAATGGGGGGGGGATATTACAATACCTCCCCATCCTCAGGGGGTATATGCTTTCTTTTTTTTAAAGAATTATTTTATTGAACTTTATTTATTTAAATTTGACTAGAGAGGGACAGAGTGAGAATGAAAAAGAGACAGAGAAAGTGAGAAAGCAAACTGCCAAGTCTGGGACTCAAACCACTGTTGGTCATGTGGGAGTCCAGTGCCCTTAAACACCATGGCACCTGCTGGCTCCAGGGGGTATATTCTAAGATACCTAGTGGATGTCTGAAACTATGAAGAGTACCAAACTCTGGGACCAGCAGTTAGCGTAATGGCTATGTCACTGGATTCCCACGTAGTCAACCGTGGTTCGCGTCCCGGACACAGTGGCTTAAACTCACGCCGGGCACGTGTGCGTGTGTGCCCAAGATCCTGAGAGGAGAATGGAGGAGAAGGGACTGTGGCGTGCCCATCCCCTCTGGGCGGTGATTTCTCGCTTTCTATCTCTCTATCTCTCTCTGTCTGTCTGGCGAGCGCATGTGCCCTATAGCAAAAACCTCTCCAAAAAAAAAAGAGTACCAAACTCAACGTGTACAATGCTTTTCATATATACACACACATACACATACACACACATAAACATATATATACACACATATATACATATATACACACATTTACATATATATATACACACACACAAAATTTACTTTATAAATTAGGCACAGGAAAAAATGAACAATAATTAATAAAATAGAACTATTATAACAATATACTGTAATACAATTCATGTGAACACCTCTTTCTTTCTCTCTCAAAATGCTCTTCCTGTTGTACTCACGGGTTTCCACACCTCGGGGGACCGCAGTTGAGACTGCACAGAGAGGACTGCTGCAGCACCATCAGGGAGCCGTGAAGAGAGTTCCACATGTTCTTTTGTGTCAAGGGCTCAGAAGAAGGCTTGGTACACAGCAAATGTGATACACATGCTTGCTAATATAAAAAGTATAGCACTGAATTAAGTCATCTTTAAGACCCTTTTCTGCTCTAATATCCTATAAAATTTAAAATATGATAATTGAGCATTTCCCATGTGCCTAGCACTAGCATGTGTATCTAATATATATGAAATAAGAGATTAGGCTAACTGTTTAAAAGATTTTATCAAAATTTTTTTTATTCATTCATTTTTAAAAATTTAACCAGAGGGAGACACACACACACACACACATACACACACACACACACACACAGAAAGTGAGAAAGCACGCTGCCGGGTCCAAGACTTGAACCTTGGTCAGCCATGTGGGAGTGTCCAGTGCCTTAAGCACCATGCCACCTGCTGGTCTCCTAGGCTAATTTGTTTTTAAAGCTTATTTATTTAGTTCTTCTATGAGCAAGAGAGACATCCAGAGAGAACTAGCACCCCTAAGAAGATCTTCATGCCGTCGTCTACCCCCAGCTGGCCCTGGATCATGGGCCTGTGAGTGTCCAACACATTTAGTGAGCTTCCTAAAATAAACTCAGAACCTCCTCATGTGGGTCAGCCTCACAGAGAATAAAATTTTACTGCTTCACCTGTCCACCCCTTCGAATATATTTTTTTTAATTGCCAGAGGTTTTGTTGGCTCACCAGAGATGGGGAGAAGGAGAAAGCAGCCCCTCAATAAACACGATCATGCTGTAATCCCTTCTCCATTTCTCCATCCTGTCAGGATTTGGGGCACACAGGGTGTGCTTTTCAAGTGGTTGGGACCAGGATTCAAATCGCCATTGGCCTTGAGGGATCCAGTTTCCTTAACTACTAGACTGGACCCATAGAATTTATTTATTTGTTTATTTATTTATTCCTTTAGTCGGGAGGCGGTGGGGGGACACCCCAGCAGTCTTCATGCTGCAGTCCACCTTGTTTCAGATAGCCTTGATCATGGGCGTGTGTACTCAGGTCATGAACCTAGGACCTTGCCCCTAAGGGTCCAGCTGCACTCCTGCTGTGCCATGTGGGGTTGTTCTACAGTGCTAGAAGTAGACTTGATGGTGGGTGTCCAAGAAACTGAAAATGGAGTTCAGGAAGCCAGACTAGCACACCTGCCATTCACTACAGGAGAGATGGCCAGTGTGACCTACAGTGCTCAGAGAAGGACCCCCAGTGTATTTCTCTAGCTTATTTGGTTAGCGTCCATTTTTAAGATTTTATCCCCAGATTAAAGGACAAAGCTTTCCATTCCAAAGTATACAATGCAGTTTTCTAACGCACATGTTTCTTTCTCAGTGCCTTTTACATTTCTCCCATATGGCTCAAAAACACAGCATCCTAGAGGTCCCTGGTAGATACCTCAGTCAGGCTGGAGAGATTTTGATAGTGCTGAGAACACTGTTGGCTACTGGAAGGGAGAAATCGGGCAAAGGGGGCCCAAAGTGTACTTACCAGCCCTGCTGCACAACTGAGAATCAGACATGGCAGAATGAACTGTCACTTTCCCATGGTCAGTTTCCATATCCAAACATTAGCAGCAACGTTTCTCTATCTGATCCTCAACATCCTATAAGAAAGGCGGATGGTTTCTCCCATCTTACAGATGAAGTCCCAGAGACCTGGACGATGACTTACCCTGTTATAGTTTGCAGTTCTATGTGGCTGATAAGCCATGGATGCTTCCCTAGCCCTTCCTTACGCTCCCTCATCTCTAGCTCTGTCCTGGGCTTAAGGATCCCAGTGGGGATTTGGAGTGGACAAGAGTTGGGCCAGGAAGGATAAGAATGTAGGAAGGGCTGGGTCTGAGGAGGGAGCAGCTTCAGGTGTAGAGGCTGTGGAACCTGGGGTGGGGAAGGAAGGAGGAGCTACGTGTCTGACTGAGGGAATGAGGAGGCCTCAAAGAAAAGGCCTGCGGGCTGCAGTGCCCTCCAGTGTCACACTCACCTACATGTGGGAACAACCCTCTCCTCCTTTCCGTTTCCACCGTTCTAACCCTCAAGGGGTTAATGCAGTTTCCACAGAATTTCCCCATCTCCCAGGTAACTTGGACAGCTTCTAAGGGCAAATAAATGGAAGTCCCAAACAATATCTCAGTTCACAGCACGTAGCAATGCCCCACCACAGCGGAGAGCACGCTCTTGGGGGAAAAGGTGCCGGGGAGGGACTGCAAGTTGGCAGGTGGGAAGGAGGGAGGAGCTCCCTAGAGAGTGGGGCATGGAGGGCACCCCTTCCCTCGGTCCCCCTACTGGTCTGTGGGTGCAGCAGGTTCCAGTAGGACCTCCGGTGGCGCCGGGGGCTTGGGAGAGAGGAAGAAGTGGTGTGCTCTGCCTGGCGCACACCTGGCGCCTTGTGGAATGAAATCTTAATTAATTATTAACCTGAGTTCCCGCGGGAGGGAGCGGAGCCACGGCCGGCAGGGCGGGAATGGCAGGGTGAGGGTGGGGGCTGGGGCTGGGGCTAAAAAAAAAAAGAAAGCCGACCCTGGGGCGGGTGCGGGGCGGGATAGACACTGAGAGAGGGTGGGTTTGCCGAGCGCTCTTGAAGACCCCTGGGGTGAGGGTGGGAGAGGAATGCTGGAGGCTGCAGCTCAGGGGTGGAGGAAGGGGGAGCCCGCTGCACGGCCCCCTCCCGCCGGGGTCTTGATCCCAGAACAGTAGCCGCTTGTTTTCCCGACTGGGGGAGGAAGCGGCCGGAGGAGAGGAGGGGGCACGCCGAGGGAAGGGTCCCTTTCTTCGGCCTCCCGCAGCCTTACCCGGTTCCGCGCAAGGGGAGTGGGCAACTCTGCCCCCCTTCTGGGGAGGGGGAGGAGGTGCCCAGACAAAAGGAGCTTGTGCCTTTAAGGCGGGGAGTCCGGGAGCCGGCGGGGAGGGGACTTCTGGATCCGGGGTAGAGGGCGGCTGCGCTGGACAACAAGGGAGGGGGCGACGGCCGGACGGACTGCTGGACGGCGGGGCACCCGGGGCTCAGGGGCGCGGGAACAGCCCGGCGGATCCCAACCAGAGGCCTGGGATGGGGAGCCTCGACAGCGCCTTCGGGGGAGCCCGAGGCAATTGGGGTCGGCAGAGGGAAATCGTGGAGGAGATAGGGGCTCACGGCTCTGCACCTCGCTCCCTGCCACATGCCTCCCTTCCTCCACTCCAGGCGAGCTCCCGGCTTGCCCAGGGAAGGGGAAGGCACCGGCTGGGGGAGGGGCTGTCCTGAGGGTTTTTCGGTGGGCAGTGGGGTGAGTCCCTGAGTTTGGGGTGGTGTGTGACTGACTATATTTAGGGGAAAGGAAAACAGCCTGGACAGAGGGAGGGATGCCCGCTGCCGCAGCCCCCTCCCTGTCCTCACCCTCAACCTTGGGAAAGAGGGTACGTCAGCCCCCCACCAACCCGGGCCTGCTGGAGGTCAGGCTGGGAGCAGACTCTTCAGAGCCAACTCTGGGGCCTGAGAAGCTGGAGGTGAGATCTTCAGCGGGAGATTGTTTCCTGTACCCACTCCCCTCCTGAAAGTACTCCTGGGAGCCCAGGAAACTAGGGGGAGTGTTGTACAGGTGGGGGTGGATATGGGAGCCCCTGCAGTCTAGGGAAAGGCCGACTGGGGAAGGGAGGTGAAGGCAGCGCTAAAATCATGGATACAGGCCCAGCCTAGGGAGGCTCCTCTACATCTGGAAAGGCCTGGCATTGAGGCCCAAGTCCCAGCATGGTGGGCGGTGCTGGCACTGCTGGGCTCTGCCTGGGCAGTGCCTTCTGCCATGAACTTTCTGAAGTCATTTTAAATCCCCTGGAGCCTCCTTTTTGCCAAGGAGGGCAGGGGCAGATGGGCCCTGGGGATGGGCTGGCCTGGAGGTGGCCAGGAAGAGGGTTTGGTGAAACAGTGGGCAGAGCCATTAGGGCTGGGCCTTGGCTTGCTCCAGCCTCTGGTTTGGGGCTGAAGGCTGGGGTTTGGGAAGGATTGAGGGCTGGGCGACACTGGGCCTGGAGCTGGGACTGCCAGGCTGGGTGGGACGTGTCTTAGGTGTGGGAGCTGGTGCTGTGGGAGCTGATAGTGCCACAGTGGCAGATCCATGAGAGCAGGAAAGACCAGGACTTAGTAAGAGGTGGTCAGAGGCTCGGGGCTCAGGAACCTGCTCCTGGGAAGAGGGAGGCAGTTTATGCACTGGAGCTCATAGTGACTGGTTCCTGGACAAGAAGGGCTGGCGGCCACAGAGAGAAACTTCGTGGCTTGGGACGGTGCCTTCTCCTGTTTCCTGCCATACCAGCCTGACTTTGGGAGCCAGGAGGGCTGGGAGCCCAGCAAGTTCT